GTGGCCCTCTGCATGGCAAAAGGCTGAGGACTTGGTCCGTGAAGCAAAACACCTCAGCTATCCCAAACCAGTGCGAGATACTCAGGAGCAGAAGCTGTAGTCTGGTGGCAGCTGGTGACAACGACAGCAACAGCTATAGAGAAGCTGTAGTCTGGTGGCAGCGGGTGACAACGGCAGCAACAGCTATAGAGAAGCTGTAGTCTGGTGGCAGTGGGTGACAGCGACAGCTACAGCTATAGAGAAGCTGTAGTCTGGTGGCAGTGGGTGACAACGACAGCAACAGCTATAGATGCGCACATTCGGCTGAGGAGCAGCCAGGCAGGATGGAGGGTGCTGCCACTTTAAGGTCTTTGTCTCTCCAGTCTTTGTCTCTTGAAGCATCCTCCTAGGCTGGGAAGACTGTAGACAGGTTTAAGGCTGAAGAAGAGCGGGTGGCTACTGTCGTCCTCCGTAATAAAGAGCAAGAACAGATAAGTGCTTTACTGAGACCAGAGCCAAGGCCAGAGCCTTGCTCCCCTCCCATGGTGTCTTGCTGAAGACGGACGCTAAAAAGAAATCCCACACTAGCTCAGAACTGAGTATAATGAAGGGTTATTTCTTTAAGGGTAGACTCACAGATCACAGTCCTCTGCATGAACCGGGAACCGGAAGGGAATGCAGCTGCCGCAAGAGAGGGCAATCACACGCTTTGCATCAGAATTTATAGCACAAGAGGCCACGCCCAAGTGGGCGGATAACTTAAAGACTACTGGATGAAGGAATTCCTATAGCACCTTGCTCCATTGCAGAACTCAGCTGTCTGCGTCCTCCACTCTCTGAGACATTTGGGGATATGTCACTATGTGGACATGTTTCATGCCTGTCTTAGTTAGGGTTTCTATTGCTGTGAAGAGATACCAAGCCCACAGTAACTCTTACAAGGAAAAGCATTTAATTGGGGTGGCTCGCTTACAGTTTCAGAGATTTAGTTCATTATCATCACGGTGGGATATGGTAGCAGGCAGATGTGGTGCTGGAGAAGGAGCTGAGAGTCCTACATCTTGAAGGCAGCAGGAAGTGATCTCAGTGTTACACTGAGGGAAGCTTGAGCAAAAAAGACCTCAAAATCTGCCCCCACAGTGACACATCCCTCCAACACGAACACACCTACTCCAACAAGGCCACACCTTCTAATAGTGCTACTCCCTTTGGGGCCATTTTCTTTCAAATCACCACAATGCCCTTGGAGGCACAGACTGGGGACCTTCACAGAGAGGCCAGTAAAGCTCTTCCCTCTAGGAACTGGATTGAATTACAGAAGTCTCTGGAAAGAGCCCCTGCCCATCTCCCCAACCCCATTTCACTGGTCCATCAGGGAATGCAGGTGTGTGTGTGGAGGGGGTGAACATGTATGTGCAGGTGTCTGTATGTATGTGAGGTGTGTGTTTGTGTGTGGGTGTGTATGTGTGGGGTTTGTGTGTGTGTATGTGTGTGGGTGTGGGTGTGGAGTATGTGAACATGTATGTGCAGGTGTCTGTATGTATGTGAGGTGTGTGTTTGTGTGTGGGTGTGTATGTGGGGGGTTTGTATGTGTGTGTATGTGTGTGGGTGTGGAGTGTGTGTGTGTATGTGTGTGTGTGTGGAGTGTGTGTGTATGTGTGTGGGGTGTGTATGTGTGTGGGGTTCGTGTATGTGTGTGGGGTTTGTGTATGTGTGTGGGTGTGTGTATGTGTGTGGGGTGTGTATGTGTGTGGGGTTTGTGTGTGGGTGTGGGTGTGTGTATGTGTGTGGTTGTGTGTATGTGTGTGGGGTGTGTATGTGTGTGAGTGTGTGTATGTGTTTGGTGTGTGTATGTGTGTGGGTGTATGTATATGTGTGGGGTGTGTATGTGTGTGGGTGTGTGTATGTGTGTGGGGTTTGTGTGTGGGTGTGGGGTGGGTGAATGTGTGTGGTTGTGTGTATGTGTGTGGGGTGTGTGTGTGAGTGTGTGTATGTGTTTGGTGTGTGTATGTGTGTGGGTGTATGTATATGTGTGGGGTGTGTATGTGTGTGGGTGTGTGTATGTGTGTGGGGTGTGTATGTGTGTGAGTGTGTGTATGTGTGTGGTGTGTGTATGTGTGTGGGTGTGTGTATGTGTGTGGGGTGTGTATGTGTGTGAGTGTGTGTATGTGTGTGGTGTGTATGTGTGTGAGTGTGTGTATGTGTGTGGGGTGTGTATGTGTGTGGGTGTGTGTGGGGTGGGTGTATGTGTGTGGGGTGGGTGTATGTGTGCATACATGTGTAGGATGGGTGTGTATACACATTCACACATGAGCGCACACACTCAACTGTACATAGCGCTGACCGGCTTGGTGGGAGCAGAAAGGATTTCAAGCCTAGGTTGTGCCCCACTGTCCTGCCCCAACCTAACTGTGCAGTGTTAAAGGATCCAGAAAGAGGTGTAACAGCCCTCTCTTTCCAGATGTCCTCTCTAGCAGGGTTGACAAGGCATTCTGCTTAGTACTTGGCTAGAAGGAATTCCTCCCTCCCCCAGCTCCTTCCTTTTCTTTCCCTCCTCCCCTCCCTTCCACTTCCTTCTTTACTTCATTTCTTTCCTTGCTTCCCTCCCTCCTTCCAATAATTTTTTAAATTTTATTTTCTTATTTTTAATTAGATTTTTATCTTTCACCTCTTTTCTCATTTTTCTTTTCTCTTTCTTCTAAACACCTTGCTTCTTTGATCATTTTTCTTCCCCAATCCCCTTTGTTAATGTGTTATTCTTTTTAATTTTACTTTCATTAGTTTTAAACTTTTATGTACTCTCTGTATGCTTTGCTCCTTCTTTCTGTTGTTGCTGGTGCTATGGCTGTTGTCTTTAATCAGCTTTTGCTCTATTTCTGTATCGCATTTGTTTTGTGCTGTTGTTAAAACATCTTGTTTTCTTCTCTGTAAACCTTGCTGGGGATTAAGCCCCCAAGAGAAGGCTGCTCTCTGGGAAGACTCTCACATAAAAGTGGAAGAGAGATCCGTTGCTACAGAAGTGCAAATATTGGCATTGAAAACACAAGAATTATGAAAAAATAAAAAGGGCATCCAACGCCGTCAAGAGTTTCTAGCTCTTCTATGACTGAATCCCAAGATGTCAAAGAGGAGGAAATGGCAGACAGAGATCAAAAACATTAAGCTTTAAAATGGCCAGTGATTCAAATGAGCACACAAATAAATGCCTAAATCAGTTAGGACCTCAGATCCCCTTATACGTGATTGTGGGCCACTGTGAGGCTGCTGGGAACTGAACTCAGGCCTCTGGAAGAGCAGCCGGTGCTCTTACCGCTGAGCCATCTCTGTGGCCCTGAACTAAGGAAGACAATGAGAAGACAGTCGTGGGTCTGGAGAGACGGCTCAGCCGTTAAGAGCGTTTTCTGCTCTTGCAGAGGGCCCATGTTCAGTTCCCAGCACCTGCATGACAGCCCGCAAACATCTCTAAGTCCACGTCCTGGAAGTCCAGTGCTGCTTCTGGCTGCCACCGGCACTGGGCATGCAGGTGGCACACATGTAACACAACCCGTGCACCTAAGTTCACTAGAAGACTGACACAGACGTGGAAGAGAGATTCCTCTCGACAGATGTTCAAACATCTGCACGGAAACACAAGAAACAGAAAAAGAAGTCATGGCGACTCCATCACGAGCTTCTCACTCATCAGTAACTCTGAGGACACAGCGGACAGGAGCTGTAGAGCTTGGGGGGTCACGATGGGTCCAGAGACTAGCGGGGAGAGCCATGTGACTTGGAGAGTTTGGGGGTCATGCTGACCTGGGATCAGACAGTGCGGTGGGCTAGGGGATGGAAACTTTCCTGTCAGTCACAGTGGCAAGGGTGTGCAGAGACGGAGGTAGGGAAGCAATCACCGCTGCATATCCAGGTCCTACGGAGAAGCAGCTGACAGTCAGAAGTCCTCTGCTCTAGGGGGCATCCATGGTTTGAAAAACTGTTTTACCCCCAAATAAATATAATTTGATCAGCAAATGGGCAAATGCACCGAAGAGGCAGGTCTCAGAGGAAGTGTAAGAGGCTATAACAAACACACTTGCAAAGGTGTTCACCTTCAGCCATCGGGAAATACAAAACCCAAACCTCACTGAGATTCTTTCCCACCTCCCTCAGACAGTCTGTGGGCAGAAAACAACAAAAGCAGTGGGAGCGGGGGAGGGATATTTAAATGAGTCTTGTAACCATGGAAATCAGTATGAAGGTTCCTCAAAAACAAAAAACCCAAAAACCTAAAAATATAATCACCATATGATCAGCTATCCCACTCCTGACACATGGACAAAGGCACCACACAATGTAACGGAGATCCCTGCAGCCCTTGCTTCATGTGGTTACACAGTCAGAGTAAGTGTCATCCAGACGGGAATGTGTAGAGAAAAGCGTGGCAAGCGTGCTCAAAGCAGCACTCGGCCATAAAGGAGAATAAAAGCCCATCGTCAGAAAGACGGATGGTGCTGCAGATCATCAGATTGAAAGAAATAATCGAGACTCAAAAAGACAGTAACCACGTTTCCTCTAATCTATGGAATCCAGAGAGGTGGGGGAGGGGAGTGATGGGGGCAGAAGACAGAGTGTAGTGGCCGTGTGTTTGAAGAGGCCAGGACGAAACACACGGCTTTTCCTGCCAACCTAAAAAAGGCCATGAAAGTAGAAGGTGGACTTTATTCTGGGGGGAGAAGGACCCATCCTGGAGGATGACACACAGGCTGGGGGAGCAGATGACCAAAGCACAAAGAGACCCAGTATCTTATTCAAGTGATTACACTCTAAGAAAAATCAAAGATAATTTAAAAATAGCCAGGCGGTGGTGGCACACGCCTTTAATCCCAGCACTCGGGAGGCAGAGGCAGGAGGGATCTCTGTGAGTTTGAGGCCAGCCTGGTCTACAAGAGCTAGTGCCAGGACAGGCTCCAAAGCTACAGAGAAACCCTGTCTCAACAAAAACAAAAACAAAAATAAATCCTACATGATATCATTTTGCTTTTCAGGACCTGATATCAGTTTGCCACCTACTGTGTGGGACTTAAGTGACAGACACAGGAGAATGTCTACAAATCACCTTCAAACTTCAAGTTTCGTGAATCAGAGCCACGGGTTTAATTGAGAGCATTGAATCTTTTAGGGTGAGAGGACTCCAGCCTGGGTGTGATGAGGGGGTTTCTTTGCACCATTTGAGTCATGGGATGGTGGTCCTTTGTGAAGCAGAGCATGAAGGACTTTGGCCAGATGTTGTCATTTTATTTATCTGTCTGTCTGTCTATCTGTTATCTATCTATCTATCTATCTATCTATCTATCTATCATCTATCTATCATCTATCTATCTATCTATCTATCTATCTATCTATTTTTGTTTTTTCAAGGCAGGGTTTCGCTGTAGCTTTGAAGCCTGTCCTGGAACTAGCTCTTGTAGACCAGGCTGGCCTCGAACTCACAGAGATTTGCTGCCTCTGCCTCCCGAGTGCTGGGATGAAAGGCCTGTGCTATCACCACCTAGCTTTGTTTATTTTGATTAGGCTTTGAGGGCCCAGAATGGATTAGATTTCTTTTTTAAGCCTCTAGATGTAACCTTTTAAAACCCATTCCCACAGGACTATAAACTAAAAAGCCGTTGACACCACAGACTGACGGACTATAGCCAGGCTGGTCTGGAACTCACTACGTGTCCCAGGCTGACCCTGAATTCCTCCTCCCAAGGGCTGGGACTGAGGTGTGCACCACCACTCTCTCTTTTAAGATTTATTGTATTTTTAATCGTGTGTGTGCACGTGCGTGTGTGTGTGTGTATGCACATGTGTGAGGGTGTGTGCACGTGCGTGTGTGAGGGTGTGTGCACGTGCGTGTGTGAGGGTGTGTGCACATGCGTGTGTGTGTGTATGCACGTGCGTGTGTGAGGGTGTGTGCACGTGCGTGTGTGAGGGTGTGTGCACGTGCGTGTGTGAGGGTGTGTGCACGTGCGTGTGTGAGGGTGTGTGCATGCGGCCTACATGTGTGAGGGTGTGGTGTGTAGATACAGGGACAGCTGCCCTTGGTTGTAAGCTGCCTAACCCGAGCCCTGAAAAGCAAACCTCGGTCTTCTGAAGCAGATTCTTTACCACTGAACCATCTTCCCAGTCCCCAGACCCTTTATAACATTTATGACACACAAAAGAAATTATTATGGTTGCTATTATTGTTATTATTATTTTAATAAATAATAATCAAATAGGCTTGATTATTTTTTTATTTTATTATTTATTTTAATAAATAAAAATCAAACACCCTCACACACGCACGTGCACACACCCTCACACACGCACGTGCACACACCCTCACATACGCACGTGCACACACACGATTAAAAATACAATAAATCTTAAAAGAGAGAGTGGTGGTGCACACCTCAGTCCCAGCCCTTGGGAGGAGGAGTTCAGGGTCAGCCTGGGACACGTAGTGAGGTCCAGACCAGCCTGGCTATAGTCCGTCAGTCTGTGGTGTCAACGGCTTTTTAGTTTATAGTCCTGTGGGAATGGGTTTTAAAAGGTTACATCTAGAGGCTTAAAAAAGAAATCTAATCCATTCTGGGCCCTCAAAGCCTAGTTCTATAAATGTTATAAGGAAAAGCTCCATGAGAAAGAGTAATTTAGCCCAAATCCTCAATTGAGGTCAGGACATCCTCAGGTTGCTCCTGTCCCCGCAGCGGCACAGAGAGCTCCTGAGAAGTACCGTTCACCCGGGTCGATAAGGCTCCTGTTAAGGATCACACACTTTAACTTAGACAACACCCTACCTCTTGAAACACCGTCCCAAGAAAGCCGTCAGTTGCTCCAAGATTGACGCCCCTTGCTATTTATAGCAGCATTGTTTGTGCAGATGCAGAGCTCAGAGGTCCAATTACAGAGATTCTGACAAGACAAATGACGAAATGGTAAAGAGCCATGGAAATGTTATTTCAAAGAATACTTAATATTGTGGAAAACTACACTGTAACTTCACTGGAGAAAAAGACATAAAACCACACACATACAAATATGTATATAATAAACTTTTAACTATGAATTTACATATTCATTTTAAAATGCTCTCAGAGAATCTGGAGAAAAGCAACCTCAAATTAAAATATGAAATAATCAAAATGTTAATAGCATGTGTCTCCCGGTAGCAGGATTATGTGCCCTTTAATGTTTTCTTTTTATTCATCTTCCTAATTTTTAGTAATGCATATGTGTTATTAATATAATCAGGAAAACGTCTATTTAAACCATATTAAAAATGTAATTTGAACTAGTCATCTAGAAAAAAAGATTATATTCAGAAAATAAAGATCGGAGACCAAGACTTCGCTGCCCTCGACCTACTGACACACTTACGGGGACAAGCAGGTGACCTGATTCGCTCTTTGCCCTTTTTTCCAGCTCACTCCTCAGGGAGCTGACAAAGGCGCCCGAAGTCAAGGCCACTGGACCGCGTCCGTCCGGTGGTTCCGCGTCATCCTCCCCATTCGGGGGCCAGGGACTGTTGGAAGAGGGTTATGCATATTGTAATAATCCACATGGCGAGCCTTTTGAGGACGTTTCTCATACTCTGTAGTAGAATAATTTAAAGAGGCGAGCACACTCCCGCACCCTCTCCCCGTGCCCTGTCCCCCCTCAGGACCACACAGCAGGGAGTACCCCTGAGTGCAGATTCTAGGCAGCTTTCCCAATGCTCTAAAGGGGAGCTCAGTGCTCCGCAGCCTCCCAAACCATGCAGAAAGCAGGAATTGGAAGCAGAGATTACACAATCTTTGGCTTCCAGCAAAGAAATGTTCATGTTTTTCCACAGCAAACCCGATGCCCTGTTCCAACATCGGAAAGAGATTTTGTATAAAGGAAGATCGACGGTCTTAGGGGGAGCAGGTAGCTCTTTCCAGACTTGTCACTGCCGTCGCTGTGGAGGCTTAGCTTGTGACAACCACGTGATCGGTGGGACCACAGAAGCCAGCATTTAAGGGAGGCCCAAAAGGAAGGCACCCAGTTAGTGGCCCTGCTTTTCTAGCTCTGCCCCTTAGTAGTTCCTGTGTCAGGAACAGAAACCAGCTCACCGTTGCCTGGGCAGAAAGGGAATTTGTTGTTCAAATAAGTGGGCAACTCAGGGAGCAATCGCTGGGTGCAGCCTGACCAGGGAGCCATTTTCAATTGTGTGCTTGTTTTCCTAACGCAGGGTTACGGCGCTTGGTAAGCACGCGTTTTAAAACAGATTTCCCTCAGCGTGCAACGTTCTTCTCATTTTCTTATCTGGGCCCTTTGAAAAGCAGATGTTCCTAATGTTACAAAGTCTAACTAAATTGTTTTTCCTTTATATTTTGGACTTTCCAAATTTTTATTTTTAAGATTTTTTTTCTGTGTGTGTGTGTGTGTGTGTGTGTGTGTGTGTGTGTGTGCACTCACCCCACTGTGTGTGGATACCCTGAAGAGGACTTTGGATCCCCTTTAGCTAGAGTTACACTGTTAGCTGCCTACGCCTGGGAAGGAACCCTAACCTGATCGATCCTCTGGAAGGGCAGTTCCTGTGGCTGCACAAGCCAGTCAGGAGGGTTCCTCCATGGCCTCCTCTGCTTCAGTTCCTGCCTCCAGAGTCCTGCCTTACATTCTGCCTGGGCTTCTCTCGGGGATGGACTGGGACCTGGAAGTTGTAAAACGAAATAAACCCTTTCTTCCCCAAGTTGGTTTTGGCAAGTGTTTTACCAGAGCCAGAGAAAACAAGCTAGCGGAGGTGTCTGGGAGAGCACGACACTCCTGCACACCCACCTCAGCCAGGGTTATAGACTGATGCCGCGGTACCCAGCCAACATCATAAATATACCACTAGGAAATTAATGTGGCCACAGTTAATTTCAATATTTTCCCTCTTAACGTTTACACTGTAGTTAAACATGGCTAGGCCACCGTGGCCTTACCTTTGCGTGGGTTTCAGGTTCACTGATTTCAGGTTAGCATGTTTGTTTCAACTTGGAAAGCACTGAACAGCATTTCTCCCTCTGCTCTTATTTTTCTGGGGAAGTCTTTATCTTGTCCATCTGTCTGTCTGTCTGTCTGTCTGTCCATCTCTCCCTCCCTCCAAGGTCTCACTATGTAGGCCTAACTGGCCTCAAATTTACAGACCTGTCTCTGCCTCTGACCACTGGGACCAAGGTTGTGCACCCCCATGCCTGGCCTATGCCTGTAGTTTTGTCCGGTGTGGTATTCTGGGTTGACCATCTTATTATTTTGTTTATTAATTATTCTTCCCATCCCTTCAGTTGTGTCATGACACTCTCTCCTGGCCTGCAAACTGTCTGCTGTCAAAACTATGGAGAATTGCATTCGGTTCCCTTGTATCCACAGGGTGATCTCCTTTTGATGCTTTTAAAGCCCTGTCTTTGACTTTTGAGCCTCTGGTTATATTGTGTCTTATTTGAGAATTCTGTGTGAGGCTATTGGAGTTCATTTTGCCTACACATTTGGGGTTTGATCTGCCAGAATTTCTTTAAATCAGCTTTTAATTCATTTTCTCCATTCCCTTTTGGGTCTTTATAACATACATTGTGGTTCATTGGACAGCACCCCCCCACCCCTCTCCTGACCTTGAGCTGAGCTCCCTGTCTGTCTGCTCAGCTGCTACAACTCTGTATGGACCCTCACTTCGGTCATGTGCTCTCCAGCTCTTAAGTTTGGCTTTTTTTGCAAGATCTGTTTCTTTGTTGAATTGCTCATTCTCCCTGTCTGCCTGACACAAAGGTTTGCAGGCAACTTACTTGAAAACATGGTTCTGAGGTCAGAATGAGGGACCAGACCGAGTAAAGCAGAGAGGAAGGGAACTCAACATAGACATGTTGGTGGGTTGGCCACAGACTGACCTTGTGGAACTTCCCACAGAGCCCCGTGAGTTTTGGGGGGATGTCCATGATGGGGAGAACAGGATACATTTATTCTCAGCACACACACCTGGTCATGAGTGGCCCCAAGCTTAAGTCTACATGGCTGAGGTGTTCCTCTTGGAACACTGTGCTGTGGTGTGACCTGGTGTGATTTCCAAATGCCACAAAGCAGGAACCATGAAACAGAAACTCAAACGGAGGCAAACCACTGCTGAGGTCGATTATGCTGAAGTCTGCGGAGCCTGCACCAAATGGGAGGGAGCAGGTGGGGCTGAAGGGATTTGAAGTGTGCCAACCCATTTTAGTGAAACACCGTGAAGAACCAGACCGGGCTGCTATTACCCTCTTCATCTTAGTCGGTTGTGGGGGACACAGTTAGCAACTCTGATTTTGACCTCCTCCAGTCTTAGGTCTGAATCTGGGTTCTGCTCAAGGTGAGTTTTCGGTTTCTTGGGGAAACCACGTAGCTTCACTGAGGTTTGGGTGAGTTTTGTCTGAAAATGAAGACAGCGTAGCCATCTTAACGAGTTGTGAGGATGAGCTGGGAAAAGCAGGCTGAGTTCTCGGCCCACGACACTTGCTAGGACTAAGGAAATGGTGGTTTACATCACTGAGGTGACTCTGACGTCATGGCAGGAGCCACAGTGAAAGCACACCGTGGGAAGGGGGGGGGCACAAGGTAGATGGAGGGGGTTAAGTTCTGGCACTCGAAGAAGAGCCAGACAAGGGTGTGGGGTGCCCTTACTTGTATCATTACTATGTGGGCACACGTGTGTAGGATGAAAGTCTCAGACAGTCATAACCATAGCTGGAGACTTTTTTCTTCCCATCTGGTCACACTGAGCCAGTTTTTCCTCCGCCCACTGGTCCCCACAGCTGTTTATAAAATAATCATTTGAAGGACTAATATTAATGATAATTGTTTGGCTGAAGGCTCAGGCTTTTTACTGGCTAGCTCTACATATAAATCAACCCATTTCTAATAATCTGTATATCACCATGGCTTACCAGAATGCTCTGGCATCTTACTCCTCTGGCGGCTGTAGGTGTCTCTCCATCTCCATCTTCTTTCTCCCTGGATCTCTGTTTGGACTTCCCACCTAGCTACATTCTGCCCTGTCAGAGGTCAAAGCAGCTTCTTTATTAACCAATGGTAATAAGAATATTCACAGCATACAGAGGGGCATCCCACACCATATAATGAAGTACGTCTTTTTCCCAAAGAAACTGATTAGAGGAACTTTGAGTTAGGTTTGGATAGATGGCGTTGGTGTGGTATAGAGGGTTGGTCTGGGGGTCACAAAATCAGAGACTTGTTTGGGTCTGATCAGTTTCAACTGAGCAGGTTGGCCCTGCCATTGAGTGACTGGCACATAACCCTTACCCCATGCCCAGTCTGCAGACCACCCCCCTCCTTGGTTGAGCATGACTGAGGAGCTTACTCCCCTGTAGTTAGTATTCAACCCCTTGAGACCTAGACTAACCTCCAAGCCAGTGCAAGTAGCTCACTGGACCAAGTTGACGCCACAGACTTCATTACAACTGACCAAGACTTTCATCTCTTGTTCATGCTTACTAAAATGGTAATGATATAGCCAACTTCTTTTCCGCCAATTTTCCATTGTAAGCTACTTAAAATTGACACTTTTCTTTTATGTTGTTCAAAGAATTCTCTCAAATTCCTTAAGTTTTCAAGGAGAAAATATGATTAAAGTCAACACATTGAATTGATGTTTGATAGAAATAAATCTATCTGGAAAGCGAATTTAAATTAGACACTCTGTGTCACATGTCTTTGGATATGTGTAACAATCGATCAGTAAGCATACCTTGATCCTCCCCCATGGGGAAAAATTCCAATTGAGTGGAATTTTCCAATTTGAAAATCGCTAGCTGGAAGTGTGAGGGACCCCTTCGGAAGCTGAGGTGACAATGAAAGTCAAGACTGCACACGCTCACACGTTCCCTAGAAAAAATAAACCTCCAGTCTAAAGAGATGTGGGCGCTGCTGTGATTTCTTCAGATATAATATATCAGAGTGGAGAAGATGGTTTTCCTCAAGGAAACATTATATGTAAATTGAAGAAAAATGAGTATAAAAAGTGAGATCGATGTTTTTTTCTTAACTCATGATCTTTCTCTTCTTTCTTCACAGTTTTATTGTGCAGCAATTTGATGTTGGTGTCTTTAGGTCTGGGCCTGAGCACACTTGTTTTTACCGTCACACTTGGGACATTAAATTGCTGTCTTCAGACACAGCCTGACCTAATGTTGTTCCTCATCCTTGGTCTGGTGGCGTTGCCTTGAGTCCCCCACCCTGTCCTGTGACCTATTCTCTGTCCTGTGCACTTTCATTGGACTCCATGCTCCCCGAGAGACATCCTTCACCCTGTCCTGTGACCTATTCTCTGTCCTGTGCACTTTCATTTGGGCTCCATGCTCCCCGAGAGACATCCTTCTGTCTCCTTCCTTATTTCCTGGTTGTCCATTCCCCTAATTTCACAATTAATCACAGACCCACCTGAAGAGTCCAAGTTCCTGAAATGGGTTTTCATT